CTAGTCCATACCCATTGAGTGCACAGTTGCCCACGTACAGTTTCACATGGTGTGTGTTTGGGATACAGGTCATAGGAAATTGCAGATTAAATAGTCAACTGAACCCATTAAGAAGAGCAATGTATTCAGACAGTTTTTGTGAATTTGATAGTACGATTGCTTTATCTTACTATATAATGACGAAAACTCTGTCTACCAAGTTTAGTGAAAATAGATATGGCGGTTAGGCCTAGATAAGAAATTAGCTCTCTAGCGCCCCCATTTTGTTTGATGGGGTCAATAATGGAGGGGTCCCCTCAGATTATGTGTGGTCATATGCCTACAAAGTTGCGTGGTGATCAGTGAAACCCTTGAGATGTTATTTATGTGATGAGCCACGCCCTCCGCAATATTCATTGCCTTATAGAAGCTCAGTTTTAGTAAGTTTTCCAACTTTTGCCAAGAGGGAACTTTAGATATTGGTCCCTAGATTATGTTCACCGAGTTTCATGCAGATCGGTCAAACTTCCTAGGAAGAGATTGATTTTAAGTGTTTTTCAAAAAATTCAAAATGGCTGAAAATCTATATAACCAGAAGTTATGGGTTCTAAATTTGTTCCTCATGAGGAGAGGCATCTCTGTGCAAAGTTTCATGTGTCTACGACATACGGGGCATGAGATATGCCCATTCAAAGTTTGCAATTTCAATCGGTTGCTATAGCGCCCCCCTTTGGCCAATTGATGTAATATTGCTCCATTCGCATCCTCCCATGACCCTCTACCACTCTGCCAAATTTCACATGGATTGACCAAGTCAGTGAGGAGAAAAACGTGGAACAGAGACACAGAGTTTTCGTCATTATATAGTAAGGTGTTTTTTGTGCCTAAATTTAACCACAAGCTGCTACGTATCTGCTACAAAATAACGTGCAAATGTAATATATCTGTGGTTTGTACATGTACTGTGACTTATGAAATGTATTTAGTGTTAACCTAATCTTTAAGTAGGTCAGTATGCAGATTCACTGATAAAAAATGATTAAGATACACAGTACATACCATCTAACCATCTGTTCTCACCTTACCGTAAACTTCAATTAATAGCCCGGGCTATTATTTGCTTAAATCACTGAAATCAACAGGCTTATATTTGGGACAGGTCTTTAATTCCTTTTACATAGAACTGTTGCTCAGCAAGGATCTGGAAATGCAAAGTATTTATTCAAACCAATATAAATATTACTTGTATAAAAATCAGGCTTCAGATGATATATCAATTATCAATCTTTCATTTGATCTAGCTCTGACAAGCAGCACATCAGAGAGAGAGAGAAAGTTATGGCACTTGAGGATTACGGCACCCAGCATACCGAAACAACACCGCTTTATCCTTTTCAAACAATACTCACTACTCGGATTAATTTTGAATAATAATAAATAACGTACAGGGTAACTGAGGAATAGACACATCATTTGAGATAACAAACAACCCGCTTTTATATATCCGATTGCCAGACCAGGTGTCTATTTGAGACAGGCATTTATTTGTCAAAATGTGTAGCCACACCGGGCTAGTAAATGGCACTGGGCGTTTAATTGATATTTTAGGGTAGTTAACAATAAATCTTACAATAATCCTTTAGGAAGTACCGTTAGCTTAGATATTTTCCTTGTTCCCAGTAAGTGCATCCTCAATTTGTGTTGCACTTGTATTTGCATGTACTGTATAAACGCTACTCTACAGCCTGAGTTCTCTGGGTGTGGCCTCAGGGTCAGTCGCTGCAAGGTGACCTGTACAACCACATTCCTCTACTGGTGACTACAGAACAGTTTGATAAGGTCGTGATAAGCTTGATGGTAGTTGCTGTATTCCTCATGTTGGGTAACTAACTGGTTTTCTTCTTATGATTCAGATACAAAAAAATAAGGGATAGGGGCGCCTGCGTTGCTGCTGTTTGGCTGATTGTCATATGTAAGCAAAGAGAAATTAAGAGTTATTCACAAACATACCATGTGCTATGATCAGGATCCTGTAGACAGTTTTCATGGCTTTCCTTTTGCTTATCTCCAGTGTGTGGACTCTCCTATGTCTTCTTACCAGGGAATGTTACTACATTTTTAGTTTGCTCATTGGCTCTACTGGCCCCTGCACTCTCCATTGAACTCTTCTGCAGTCTGTCCATTCTCAGGATCCTGAGAAGACCTGGTCCAGGAAATAAAGAGGCTCAAGAGAAGAAGGACAGAAACCAGCAGAAGAAGAGAGCTATCAGGATCATCTGTGTGGTGCTGGTTATGCTAGTTTTTAATCTGGTCCCGTTCATTGTATTGCCGTCGGTCAATGGACTAACTCAAATTGATTTGTTGGCCATAGCGTTCACACTTTCCACTGCTGGAAGTTCAGCACAGGGTTTTTTATATCTCAGCAGGTCTGGGAAGCTGCCATGTAAGGGCAAACGCTAAATCCATATTCTGTTTTCTGTTTGTGTTCCTTGCTTCATGTTACTCACTCATGTTTAATCTGCTTCCTGTTTTATTCTGTAGATTCTCTCCTCATGTGTCGTGTCTGGTTTTACTTCCTGTCTTTGTGTGTTTTCCCGCCTGTTTTCTGTCACACCTGTCTCATTAGTCCTTTCCTGTTTCTAGAGTCTTCCCTTCACACCTGTTCTGTATTAGTCTTGTCTGCTCCACCCTTGTTGTTCTCCATTAGTTTTCAGTATGGTTTTTGTTCTGCTTTCGTTTGGACTTTGAGTTGCCTGCCTGTACTGGATGTTTTCAATCAGCTACATTAAAGCTTGTTTTTTGTTAGAAACTCAGACTGTCTGTTGGTCCGCATTTGGGTTCTCCTCTGAACTGACACGTGACAATAGCAGCTAACAATGGATGTGTGATTTACAAGATTTGTAGTTCTCTTTGTATAAGGATGGAATGGAAATGCTGTATATTTCAATGGAAATGTTGTAGTTCAAGACAATATGTCACCTCTCCTTTAGTTCTTGGAAGTCTAATAATAATAAAAGTCTCACAGATTAAAGAGTTATAACTTCACTCATGTAATTGCATTACATTTGTCAGGTTGGCCAGGAACGAGACAATAAAAGAGTGAGAATGGTTTTCTAATACGTTCGGCATACCAACTTCAACAGGAGGTATTATGTCAATGTTGTTTTTACAAAAAAAAATGAACACAGCTTTAAGTCCAAATTTGAGGTACTCGACATATTTCCATTTCAGGCGTCTGTATTCTTCTGGTTTTCATTTTTGAGGGAAATGTACTTTCTACATCATTACTACAACTTAAAGTGACAGTAGCCAGAAGAAAATGTTGGCATTGTAAGTTTCTGTAAATCATGGATATGTTTTATTTACTGGATACATTGAAACTTTTTTTTTTTTTTTAACAAACAATACAACAACACAACAACACAACAGCAACAGTCATCAAGACAAAAAGGAAAAACACACGAGATAGGCAGTAAAATAAAATACCACAACACCCAATACATTGGGGCCGAGGCAAATCGTTAAGGAGCATAGCAGTCACAGTCACAGGTATATTCACAGAAAATATTTCCAATAACTGACGGGCAGTAATGGGGGGGCATTCCCAGAACACATGTATGAATGTACCAGCGGCACCTTGAGAGCAAAGTGTACAATGAAAGACGGTCACAAGACCCATCGCGTGGAGCCTTCTCGGGGTGAGATAGGTCCGGTGGACATAGTTCAAGTTAATCTGTTGGTGATTTGGGTTGTGAGGTCAACAGGATGTTGGACCATACTGAGTCCCAGTCCACATCTTGGTTCAGTTTTGGCACATCTTTCCTCCATATCCTGTTCAGGGGGAGGTCCTTGTAAGAGGACTTTAATAGAAGGGCATAAAAGGTATAGACAAAGCCCCTGGAAGTGCCTCTGCTTGTGATGAGTTTATGGAAGGGATGCTGATCCAGTGGCCGATTCTATGGGACCCCATGGGCCCTAAGGGCTGCTCTCAATTGTAAATAAAAAAAGAAAGAGGAACCTGGTAAATTGTAATGATGTCTCAGATGCTGAAAAGAGCGAAGACCTGTGTTATTAAAAATATCTCTCAGAGTGTGAACACCCTTTCTTTCCCACTAGGGAAATTTATTGGTCTTCGTCCTATCAGGAGCTGAGTATCATTAAATATTGGAGAATCTAAATGCCACGGACACTGGATAGCACCAAGTTTCTAGGGGTTCCGCCAAATTTGGATAACGTGTGATGAGTGGGCTGAATTTGAGTTGACATTGCCTTATGGAGTTGTTCATAAAAATGACATCCTGGAGTCTGAAGGGGGAGACCAGCTCCTCCTCCAGGTCATGCCAAGATACTGTGGCCCGGGGGTCTGGATACATTGAAACTTGACATTTACACAACACTGTGTGTGTGTTAATGTGGTTAGATTTAGGCAGGCACAAAAGCCACTTGGTTACGCTTAGGAAAAGATCATACCTGGGTTAAAATACCCAGTTTGCCAAATCCCAACAGGAAAAGCAGCAATGTCACAGAAGAAACAACCTGTCTTTGTTCCTAAAAGCAGCTGGAAACTTAGTGTCAGGTTGTTACCAAACACCCATATTTGGTGCCTTAGAAGCTGCTGGAAACACAGCAATGACTCGCTAAATCACAGCTGGTGTTGGTGTTTGTTGGTCTTGAACAGTGGTCTGCAGCTTGGCACGGGTCTTACCTAGCAGATGTTGAAATTTGAAGCCTTGTCACGACCCTACTTATAGACTTATTTGTCATATTTTTTCACAAATACATTCTTCAACTGCATCTCTTCATATCTAATTTGTGTACATGCATCAGTTAAGTCATGTTGGCCTGGCTTAGAAGAGCAGAGAGGCGTGTCGGTGTGTTGCACCTGTCGAGCAGGTTGGATTGGATGAACTTTGTGGAGGGTGGGAGGTTGGGAGGGAGGGATCAGCGGGACAATGACAGAGTGGAGGAGGGAAAAAGGAAAAGAATGTGACAAGTGAAAAGCAGTCACAGATATTAACATGAGGAGGAAAGACTGCAGAGAGGGAGAGAGACTGAAGTGTTGGAAATACGCTGCATCTGTTTACTGACACAGAAATAATCTCTGGGATCACTTCAGGCCTCAGAACAGGTAAGGCATATTTATCACACTGGAATTTTTGTTCAGGAATCTGTGTCTCACATGTTGTCTCTTCATGTTATGAAGTTCTGTTTCTACAGTGTCTGCATAGTGTCTACTCCATCCTGATGTCTGTGGTATATTTGCAATAAATAAAAAGGTTTTCTACACTGTTATCTCAAAGTTAGTCTGTGAGATAGCAGACAATAGCATGTATAAGCACTGGTACTTGATGCTCCATCATTATCAGCAGGAAAGTCCATGAACACTATGTTCTTGTGAGGATACACAGGTTCAAGTACCACAGTGTTTGTTATAGTTTTGTTAGAGTGTGTGAAAGAATGTGAAAAGCCATTTAATGGGTGCTGTTGGATAAGCAGACATTGTAGAAAGTGTAGATTACACCCATTACTGACCCACCTCTTGTTCCTGCAGAGGTTGAATACACTTACTTTGAACAAAAGCATCTGCTAAATGGATGTAATGCTAATGTGTTGGGAAAGAATGGCCTATAATACAGGTGTAGGTGTATCAATAGTGTTTGGGGCCTGTTTACATTGCAGCTTTACAGTTTCACCCAGCAGAACTCAACCCATGACTGATTTCTCAACATGTAACAATGTACTGAATGGTACTGTTGACAGGTGATGTAGAGCTGTGTTGTATAACACCTGAGACATGAGAACCGAGGAACAAGTTTAAATATGTGTCTAAGATGTGACCATAAACAGCAGAGCAGGGAGAATACCGACCAGCGGACGGACGGGAAAGGCTCAGTTTGGTCTTTTCCTGGAACGTTTGCTGAAAGACACTTGACTCAGCCACCCCTCTCACATTTTATGTTTGAGCAGTTGAAAGGAGACATTTTTTCCACTACATGAATGCACTTCACATTTCTAAACGGAAAAATTGTAAGATAAAGTTAAACACCTTGAGGGCTGACAGGAAGCCATGCTCTCTTATCACTGCCTATTTTTTCAAACAACAAAAAACATTGTGTTTTAGTGAGTCATTGCTGTGTTTCCTGTGGCTTTTTAGCCCCTAAATGTGGATGTTTTTTAAGCGGCATGTCGCTGTTTTTCCGTCGGGGATTGTGCATGAAAAAGCAGTTGTTTTTTACAGAGACATCATTGTGATGCCAGTGGGGATTTTAACACCAACACCGGGTACTCTGAACCAAAACATTATCATTTTCCAGCCCTAACCAAGTGTTTTTTTCCACTGAAAAAAGAATCTATTTGTTTTAACTTAAAAACACAAGTGTCCAGGCTGCCTTAGATTATCAAGTTGACTGAATCTGAGAAGGCACGTTGAATGATTACAAAATTACCTCAACTTGTCTTCTCAAATTCAGTCAACTTAAAATTTTAAGGCAGCCTGAACACTACCTTTTTTAGGTTAAAACAAATAGGTTATTTTTTACAGTGTGTGCCTAAACCTAACCACACAGTAACCACATCGAAACATAAAGAAATGTAAAGTCATCTCATCTGATGCATGATAACGTACAAATGTAGCATAGCCATGGTTCACGGAAACGTACAATGCCAACACTTATCTGGCAATGGTGAAAATCACTCAACATAAAGATGGAAGTGTCTACATTTTAAGTTTAATTTTAAAATATGACATTAGCAATAGACTGTATATATTGACTGTGTCAAATATAGGGGATTGGAAAAGTTGGTATGTTGGTAAAAGTACACGTGACTTAGTGCAATGGAAACAGATCAAGCGAATACACAATGACATGGATGAAATCTTGATCCAAAGCTTTGATGCACGTGGCTCCATAACTATAAATACCTAATGTCATGAGAGAAACACACAATCAACAGTGTCTCATTTCCTTTCTGTTTCAACTAAGATCATTATGCTCAGGTTGTTTACTGCATACCTCACTCCTTTGGCTGCAGCTCGCCAATAAGAAACTGGCACTACCTGTATTGCAGCTGCTTGTGTGTGTGCTTGTTTCCGTTCCTCAGGTATAGAGAGCTGCTAATGAGCTACTTCCACTCTTTAAATCTATCCAGGATTAGTTCTCAGTTAATTATAATTTGTGCGTGTGTCTGTGTGTGTCTGCTATTTCCTAGAAACATAGTGCGGACAATGAGAGAGACAGACAAGCATAATTAAACTAATCGGGCAATTATACTGCTTACTAAGTGTATGACTCAGCATTTTAGCTGCTAAATAAACAACTGATTGTGCATAACTGTGGCTGACGCCTACGCTACCCTGAAATAATGTGTTCATATGATCTTCCAAGTCCGTACAAAGTTGAGTAGTTAAAAATAATGGTGAAAATTAATAAAGACTTAACAATTCAAGGAAGTAAAGCTGCAGAAGCCCAGATATCCTGACTTTTAGTTCCCAAAGTGGGTCAAACTCCCAAAAATATTTAATCTTACATTTCTCATAACACAGCTTGCCTCTGTGCGCAGTTTACATGTTCTCCCCGTGTCAGCGTGGGTTTTCTCCAGGTACTCCAGCTTCCTCCCACAGTCCAAAAACATGCAGGTTAATTGGTGACTCTAAATTGTCCCTCAGTGTGAATGTGAGTGTGATGGTTGTCTGTCTCTATGTGTCAGCCCTGTGATAGTCTGGTGACCTGTCCAGGGTGTATTACATAAAATGAATGAATGAATATACATATATTTCAAAAAGAAAAATAAACATTATAATAAAAGAAAAAGCCCCAGATGCCGACTCAGAACTTTTACGTATACGTACAAGTAGTAATAGTACAGTGTAAAAATACTTTGTCAAAAGGAAAAGTCCTGCATTCACAGTGTTACTCCAGTGTAAGTATTAGCATCAAAATATACTTCATGTACCAAAAGTAAAATTACTTGTTAGATTATCCATTTCAGATCCATGCTGGGTTGTAATTACTGGTGCATTAATGCATCACTTTGATGTTACAGGTGGTGAAGGTGGAGCTCATCTCACTATATAATGACGAAAACTCTGTCTGTGTGTCTGTCTGTGTGTCTGTTCCACGTTTTTCTCCTCACTGACTCGGTCAATCCATGTGAATTTTGGCACAGTGGTAGAGGGCGCTAGAGAGCTAATTTCTTATCTAGGCCGAACCACCATATCGATTTTTACTAAACTATGTAGAACAGGATGCCTCAAGGTGACTGGAGAAATTTAACTCTAATTGGGATCTGGGTGGTGCTATAACAACAGAAAAATGCTTAAAAATGGCTAAAATGCAACCGATCGCTGTGGCTCCCCCTGTGGCCGAATGTTGTTGTTTTTTTTTCTTCTAATTTTTGGTATGATTAAGTCATGGTATGGTATGCTGTACTCAATGGGTATGGACTAGTTATAATGACTGAAAAACTGCTCTGTAGTTTCATCTATAATAATTCATGATCATTTTATTAGTTGATTAGGCTATATTTTGAGTTATTAATTTGAGACTTTAAAATAAAAGCAGAAAAATAAATGTAGTGGAGTAAAAAGTAAAATATTTTCCTCAAACTTTTGCTTAATTACAGTATTAATGTACTTTGTTATGTTTCACTACTGTTAACATGAATACATTCAACTATTTTTCCAACTTTAGTACATATATTTTTCATGATAGCAGTTACAAAGTATTCTGTTTTTACTCAATACTAATAACTAACAACTACAAATATTTCTAACATCACAATTCATTATTAATCTGGACCCCCCTACAGAGGTCTGGCCAAAGCCCCAAATGTATTCAAATCCTCGAAATGCCCCTGATCCACACCCCTAGTTTGTAATGTCTGTTTAAAAAATGCAGCCTGGTGACATCACTTTGACATCAGCAGGGTGATTTTTTTTACTTGACAAAGCTCCTCCAAAGACACAGAGGAAACTATACACGACTAATCTTCATGTGTGATATCAGGTTGTAGGATGTTAAGTACTGTGAAGTATATGTTGCTAATTACTTTTCACCTTCAACAAGCGGATAAACTTGCAGCTTGTTAACACCTGAAACCAGCTGCCTTCCAGCTATGAGATTCAGTTTACAACACTGATGACGACTCTATGACAGATGTCAGAATTAAGTATAAGCTGTGACTCTCCCCTCCAAACAAGTTACAGTTTAGTAGAGTAACTGAAGCTGTGCTTGAGAAGAGTATTACTGTAATGCGCCAGTGGCGAATAAAAAGACAAAGTGATACTCTATCTGTTGTGTTGTATTTAGGCAGTGTTAAACAGTAAAGCTGGCATCTTTCTGATTCCATGAAAAGACTTCTAGTACTCCCCTATCCAGTATGTGGCACTCTCTTAAAAAATTTCTTACAAGTATGTCATTTATTAAATTGTTTTTGAAAAGGTTCAGTAGTTTCCTAAAACATGTGGTCACTGTAGTTTTTGGTGTTCAAGTTAGTATCTGGTGCAGCAGGAAGGTGTATGTGGAGTTGAATCTAGATAAATTACAGTGTGTGTGTTCATGATCAAGAACATGTCAGCCACTACAACAGTGTGGCTCACTGATGTGTGTTTAATAGTTAAGGTCTATGCCACAGAGGTGTAAGATATGATCAGTATATCAATACTCAGTAGACACACTCATTGTTGGTTTGCGTCTGTTGTTAGTAAGAAAAATATAGAATTTTACTAGACTTGTCTTTTAAGGTTGCCGTTTGATATTTACGGCCACAGAAAAAACAGGAAATGTGGATGACTTTCAGGTTTTGAGTTTGTTTTCATATTTAACATTTTATTGATAAAGTTACGTTCAACAAAATGAGCTGGAATGTTCTCGCCAAGCCGGAATATCCGGATCTTGTATAACTACTCACGTGTAGGGTTTTAGTGTTAGTGTGGGTGTGTTTGAGTGCAACATGCACACATTCATTCAGACGGACTCACATTCTACCTGCATACAGACAGGGGTCAAACTGAAGCAGTTCATGGGTAAGGATAGAGGTAAGATTAGTTTTGATTGTTTGGCTGTTGATTCATAACGGACCTAATGACACCCTAATGATACTCTGGATAAAGAGTATCATTGCCAATGACGATATGACTGATTATTTAACTCTGTATTAGAGTGTCAGTATGTGAGCCAGATAAAGAAGAAGAAGAGGCTATACTCTATTAACCCCCGAGGGGAAATTCAATTTTTTCACTCTGTTGTCATGTACACACAGGCCTGAAATACACACACGCACAAACAGGATCTATACATGCATTAAATGGCGAGATGTCAGGGTGAAGGGGCAGCCTTGGACAGGCACCCTGAGCAGTTGGGGGTTTGCTTGGCAGGGCCTGGGAGGTGAGCTGGCACCTCTCCAGCTACCAGTCCATGCTTTGTGTTTGGTCTGTACCCGGACTGAGCTATTGCCGCGCCTGGAGCTATGGACTAGGACACTGAGATGATTTCGTATCCGTCCTATGATTATTGGGTCAGAAGGAGAAAATACAAAAAGCTTGGGCACACAGGGAGTAAAGAGAGTGGAATTTAGACATTAGGAAATTAGCTCCAATAACAGGGGTGCTCAAAGTTTAAATGACTAAGTGCCAATGTAGGGAGCCAGTAAGGCTGCAAAGAAAGTAGTACACATCTTACTTTCACATTAAACTGCCAAAATCACTAACTATAGCTAACAGCATTAGTATAGATGACAGGACGCAATCCTTCCAACACCCATGAGGTCACCCTAGTTGCCATGCAACCAGTAGATTTCTACAAGGTGTCATTCCTTACCTGACAGACGCCTGTTTGACACAGTAGCTGATTAGTGTTCGGAGGCCGCACACATTTTTTCTGAGGGGGGCTGCACTTTGAGCAACTATGCACAATAATAACCATTATGTAACCCAAAGTCAGGACATGTCTGCTCATGAAAAATATATTTTTTCATTGCTTTTAGCACCACAAGGGTGCAGGAAAAAAATCTCAGAGGTAAATATCACAAACCTGAACAAATCACACAAAACTTATCAGCATGTTAAGGATGGTAAATGGACTTGGACTTGTGTAGCACCTTTCTCGCTCCAACCACTTAAAACAGTTGTCACATTCACCCGTTCCCACACACATTTATACACTGGTGCCTGAGGCTATCATACGAGGTGTCACCTGCTAGGATCAGTATAAACACAAACACACTCTCACACATCGATTGCACGGCTACCAGGAGCAACTTGGGATTCAGTATCTTGTCCAAGTTGACATACAGCCTGGAGGAGCCTGGTATTGAACCACTGATCTTCTGATAAGTGGACGACCTGAGAAACCTCCTGAGCCACAGCCGCATCACTAGAAAAGTGATGAGGCTGAAAGAATTGATTTAGGTGAACTGACTTAATTTGAATTTTGCTTTTTAAGGTTTAGATGATGAACCCGACTTTGATTTTTACCTGAATCCTCTGCATCAATACTGTCAGTGATTGATTGGGTAATCAGCTGAGGCCTTGGTAAATCTACACTCATGCAGATTGTGAGTGTAGACTGAAAGCGAGGCCTTTTCCCGTATGTGTAAATCTGGCTTCACAGTATTTCACATTACCATAGGAACCTGTTTGAGTTGTTTCTGACGATGCCTGCAAGTAAGGAACAGTAGATTCATATCTTTCACAGCAAAGACACAACAACTAGCAGATCACAAAAAAGGGCAAAGGGGATCAAGAATATAATTTATCATTATAGTTTTACTGTATATATCCTGAATGACGTATTTCTGTCTAATAGCAGCACTGTCTCTCATACAGCTTAACACTGGATGGCAATGGCGCTGCCTGCAGCCTTTCTATCTGAAGACCAGTTCACCTGCTCCATCTGTCTGGATGTGTTCAGGAACCCAGTCTCAACACCATGTGGCCACAGCTTCTGCCAGGCCTGCATCTCTTCCTACTGGGATGGACCAGGAGGAGGAGTTGGAGCAGGGGGGAGGGGCGCCAAGTCCTACCAGTGTCCCCTCTGCAAGGAGTCCTTCCGCAAGCGACCAGAGCTCCATATCAACCGAACCCTGAAGGAAATCACGGAACGGTTCAAGGAGATGGCCAACGCCGGGGTGCCATGGGATGGAAGAGATGGAGGAGGAGTAGAGAATCCAAACTCACATCTGCACCATCATCATCACCTGGCCCTGACATCGTCATCATCACTCCAGAGGCCGGGGGAGATGCCAGAGACAGTCTTGGCTGAGATGATGACTCGTTTTCAGATGCTGTCAACTCCTGTCCCTCACCCCCAAAGCCCCGGTTCAGTCAATGCTCACCAGTCCTTCCAGGCGCAGAACCATAAGCCCCATGACCCACCTCCGCCCTACTCACCTCCACCCTACTCACCTCCCCGCAGGTGCGAAACTACATACGCTCTTAGACTACATTAAAATGGGTTTCATTCAACTTCATCTTTAATGCTCCACTAAGAAAGGACATTACTAAAAACCCAAGTATGGGGAGTGTGTAAACGTTGCATAATAACAGCTTTAATGAAACACAAAGCAAAAAAGCATGCAACATGCAGTGACAGAGACAAGTGGAATGTGGTATCATTAAATCATTAAATAAAAAGGGTTCATCCACACAGTAGGTTTTGGCCTGATAGTGGCATGAGTAGAAGGTCAAGGACTAAACAAAAACATTGAGACTTGTCCTGTGGGGACCATTAAAATTCATCGCAAATTAGATTTTTGTCACTTGTTAATCTGTATCGTTAATTAGTATCGTTATTGATTCTCATGTTGTAGTACTCGAGATTGATCTTGGCTCCGAGACAAATTTTTGAAGGTCTCAGTCTCATCTCCAACTCGACTGCATTTTTAGTCGCTCCTGTCTCAGTCTCAGACAAAAAGGACTCTGGATTTGCGAGTTGCTTTTTAAAAAGATGGCAGCAAGCAGCAACATAGCTTTTAGGTTAGAAGCATGGCAGCAAGCATGTTGCAAAAGACAAAGCAGAGCAGTGACAGCTTGAATACACCACCATGAGTAAAAGGGGGTGTAAGATATTAGTTGCAGTGAGAGGAGTTGGTCACATGAGACTCTACTTGCCTGAAAAATGACTGAAATGATTAATCAGTTATCAAAATTGTTGCTGATTAATTTTCCTTTTCTTTGTTGTAATGTTACGACAGGTACACACTGAGCGGCTCCATTGATTCTCCCCCCAATCTGCCTCTTTGCCCCACCCACATGAGAGGTCTCGAGTTCTTCTGCCGTACCGACAACACCTGTGTCTGCTGCACCTGTGTGGAGACAGCGGAGCACCGAGGACACAATATCATCCCTGCCAAGAGAGAGTGGCACATCAAGAAGGTTTGTGTGTGTGTGTGTGTGTGTGTCAGTCAGTTAGGGAGAGTTGTCTAAAGGCCCTGACACACCAAGCCAACAACAACACCCTTGCTTTTGCGGTGTGTCACTCACTGTTGGCACTAGTCCGCCCTTGGTGTTAAATCTGCAGTGGAGTTGTCAGTGCGAGATATCACTATTGATTGGCAGTTTAGCTCGGTGCACGTGAGGATTACCAGAGTGGGAAAGGAAACAAACGACTAATGTCAAGAGGGCATGAGACTGAAACAAATGAGTTACTTCCTCTCACACATGCGCAGAATGTACGTGCTGGTTGGCCATTGGCTAGAGTCTTTGTGGTGTGTTCAAGTGCAACCTTTTGACCAAAACACAGGCAACATGAGGCGATGCAGTTGGCCTTCATCGCCACTAGTGTGTTTTTTATGTTGGTTTGGTGTGTCAGGGCTTTAACTGGGGACAACATTATGTTTACACTGTAACTGTATTATTGAAAGACATATTGTTTCATTGAGGTCATATTAAAGACAAAAACACTGGTGACTTTGGCATCGTAATAAACGGTGAAAACATGAATTTGACTCAGTGACAATGAAAATAAACAGGCTGAAAGCAACACGTCGGTTGCACCAATTTACACAAGGCTTGTCTAATTTTGCTACAACAAGACAGAAATAATTTGTAAGATACCATAACTACATGAATAAAGGATAGGTTCAGGCACATTATATATGGAGCATGTGCAATAATGCAAAGAGCATCAAAAGGGGTGTTTCCACTCAACGACCTATTTGAAGGATGTTATTGACCATCTTAAACTCTCCTTTTCTTGCAGCCATGGAAATTCTTATTCAAAAAAAGCTTGTGTTTCCCACACATTTGTGTTTGCATATACTGTGTAGGTGTATCTGGTGTAGAATATGTGACAATCACCAGGCTTCAGGGTCAGGATAAGGCTAGTTGTGGCTACTGGTTATACACACAGTGAGGTTAATACTGACTAAATGTGTGTTTTCTGTCTTCTCCAGTCCCAGTTAGGTATCGCAGAGGTGGAGCTGAAGGATCAAATCTGTGAGAGAGAGAGGAAAGTGGAGGAAATACAGAACTCTTTACGAGAGATACAGGTGAGTTTTCAGTCTGTGTCAAGGTGGGTTCTTCTCCACGTTTAGCTCTGGTCTAAAACTGTGGATATATTTAAGAATTAGCACCAATTAGAACTAATTCCCACCAGACTGACAACTGCGGGGGAGTTCACTCACTTAGGACAGACATATTTGAAAAACAGATAATGTTAAAATCCAGATTTATCTGGAAGTATGAGTTTGTGCACAGGTGCAGGAGCAGTCTTCAGTAATGTGGGACTGCTTTTTGGTTCTGTATAAGCTTTTAAAAGTGTTTTATAGAATGTGTGTATATAACTAACCTCCCAAAAATTATGGGTTGAAGCATTTTTGGAAAATGTACAAAAGGTCAAACAAATTGTCACTTCTCCTTTCTTGCATCTAGTTGTGTGCACTTAATTTGGCATTTTTCATCTTTTGGGGGGGGGGGGGGGGGGGGACAAAGAGAAACAGCCTGCACCACAATCACATCATTAATATGGTAATGTAGTGGAGTGGAATCCCATCCCAGGGATTTAGCATATTTGTCTTTGAATGTGTCTCATTTTCTCATACAGAAGTGTGAAATTATATAAAAAAAAATATATATATATATATAGTTTCACGTTGGGGTCAATTGCACCACCTTTGCCAGTTTGCACTATAACACTGTGCATACTGGCAAATGTGTAGCTACAAAATTCCAGACCTCCTGATAATAGTTTGCATCTTCCCTTACATAAATAGACATTTCCAAATTTTTGAAAATGCAAACATTTTTTTAAAAAAAAAAGAAAAAAAAAAGCCCAAATTGGTGCTTAAAATTTCATCAGAATGCAGGAAATGAAGTGTTCCCCTCCAATGTTGAATTGAAACCTATGCCCTTGCCCCCAAGCACTCTGTATCAGTGATTTGTCCCACACTCAACTACATATACATACTATAAACAAAACTACACCACAGTCACATGACTCCAACTTCGTCACCACATTGAGGCTGTAAAGCTGTGCTTGGCGTGATGACATTCTGTAGTCTCATTTAGCCACTTGTTACCCTAATAAAAAAAAACATGTAAAAGCTTCAAAACTCACCAGTCGGGTATTTACTGACATATTATACGTTGTACAACAAAACATGAAAGTCTCTAAAGCATGTGTTAACCACAGACTTTATTTCAGGCGTCTAACCCATTAAAACCTATTATATAAAAAACACTGACTTCAAGGTGAGGGAACTGTAAGTGCAAAACTGCAAACTCATTTCCAGGTTTTAGGATTCCTGCACCACTCTGTTGTGAAAATGAATCTGGGGATGTTATGGGACTGGTGGATTTCAAACCAGTAGCGGGGAAGGGCAAACAAAAGCAAGGTTGTAACAAGTTATTTTTGGGGTGTACTTGTGATATTAATGCTGAAATTTCATCAATTATTCATTACACTACTCATTAGTGGGAAAAGTAGTATTATTGCTGTTACTGGTAACACATTACTGCCCAACACTGTCCCCTGCACACTCTTTATCAGTGGTTTGTGCCATAGTAAAGGGTCTTCCAGTCTACTCCATCGTTTGCTCATGAGCTTATAGAAGTTGCCAAACACAAACTTCCAGTGGGTGCCTTTAAACACCTCACCCCTCCTGCTGTTCATCTTCTATCCAGGCCGCTGCTGAGAGAGAGACAGAGGGAGCTGTTTGTGTGTTTACAAAGCTGATCTCCAGTTTGGAGCGCTGCCAAGCTGAAGTCTTGGAGGTAAATAACACTGACACAGGAAGTGTGGAGAGAATCTTCTATCAATATCTCAAAGCCTTTTCTGTTTTCATAGAAATAAAAGTAGTTCTCTTACCATTATTAACACAAATAAGCATTTGGAGGAGTATTAACTGAGCTCCATGGCATCTGTTATTCCCAGGTGTTAGAAATGACTCGGCGGGCGGCTGAGCACAAAGCCAAAGGCCTGCTGAGAGAGCTGGAGGAGGAGCTAACTGAGCTGAGAAAGAGGAGAACAACACTGAGCGAGCTGGCTCTGTCTGAAGACTGCGTGTTCTTTCTCAAGGTATGCTAACCCTTTAGGAAAATAGTTCTTTTTTTTTTTTCTTCTTAAGGAAATGTGTGGGAAAAGTGATGTTTTAAATGTAACAAGTTCAAATTTAGAATGCATTTATTTTTTTAATTCATATGATGTTTTTTTTAGCCCAATAAAATGTGTCCCTACTTTTCCAGGGAGGCTGAATTTTGGGAAAATGCACTCCTTGTACATTTTACAAAATTGTGTTTTTCATTTGGCTTGGACTCGAATACTAGAATATAATTGGTAGGAGACACCTTTATCTGTTCAGGAAATTATTTTCATTATGGACCAAGTAGTGGGTAATGGAGGGTTACTTTGTGTCAGTACAAAAATGTCCCAACTGACCCCTCTCTCCCCTACCCATACTCCAATTTGAGAAACTATGTGTTACATGGTTAACATGGAGAACTCATCAAGTGATCTACCAGCAGATAGACACAGACACATTTGGAGATCATTTTCCTCATCATGATGTTCACCAACAAGACAGTCTCAAAAAGCTGATGCATTTCTTTACATCTGTTGAAGCCACGTCTGTTTTTGACATTTCTTCCCTCTGCAGACGTTCTCTGCCCTGTCCACCCCTCCACAAGCTAAGGACTGGTCCAATGTCTCTGTGGTGTCTGAGCTGACCTCAGGGGTGATCCTCCGGACTGTCAATCAAATGATGGAGCGCTTTCAGGAAGAGATGCAGAAACTGCCAGAAATCTGTAAGTGTTCGTCTAGGCCAAGAGTACTGGATTGTCAAGTACACGTTGAATTTAAGATAAACTGAAACTGCAACTCTGCTGTTGCAAGACAGTGTCTTATTTTTGTTACTGTGGCACATGACTGAAAATATCCCATGTTTTTTTGTTCTGGAAGCTCTACTGTGTTTCTTGGCTCTTTGATTCAGAGCTTAGCGTATATGAGTAAATTAAAGGAAATGTTCTTTTCCCTCATTAACAGGCCAGCGATCTTTGGCTGTACCCAGGCCCAACCCAAGTAAGATTCTGATTAGCTAACAGCACAAAATGTGATTTCGTTCATTTTTTTATCCTGTTAAATTCAATGAATCAATATAAAATGTGGCAAAATAAAAAAGAAAGTAAATATATTTATACTCTTTTGTTTGCAGAGGTAAGGAGGGTTCAAGAATATGCAGGTAAGGGTTTTTTTTCTGTATAGTTTGTTGTCACTTTCACTCAGTTGTCATATGTGGTGTTATTTTTAATCACCAACCATCACTCTCTTTCTCAATCTGTCAGCTGACATCACTTTAGACCCCAACACAGCCCACCCACGTCTCATCATCTCGGCGGATGGGAAGCAGGTGCACTGTGGCGAACGCCATCAGGTGGTACCTGACAACCCTGAGCGCTTTGACCGGGTGGTGTGTGTGTTAGCCAGCCAGGGCTTCAACTCAGGACGGCATTACTGGGAGGTAAGTGAGCCTCAGTGTGAAGCTGTGTACAAGTCAGTGGCAGAGGGCGCGTGTGTGAGAGCCAACCAGCCTCAAAGCTTAATTCCGAGTCAGCAAGCTTTAAGGAGTGATTCACCCAAAAACAATGTTCAATGTACAAATTCTTCACCTCCCAAGGCTCTCTGTGGTCCCAGAAAAAGTTTTCCATCGAGTGGAATTAAGGAGAGCGGAGCACCCCAAAAAATTAAAGCGTATCAGTGCAAACAGACTTTGACTGAGGCTGAATTATTGACAGCAAAAACAGCTAGAAAATGTCTGAAAAATCTTGTGAAAATTATTCTGCAGTATTATCCAAGTGTCTGAATTTGTTGTGTGCATGTCCACAAATGTCCACAATTATCCAGTCTTATGCTCAGTGCTTCCCAAACACAGTCTGGCTTTGAAGAGATCATAGATAAGTTTCACTTCTAGTTCAGTTTTAAATGGTAAGGTTTGCACTCTTTGCAGTAACTGTACAATGCTGCCCTCTTCTAGGTGGAGGTCGGAGGTAAGACTGACTGGGACCTGGGAGTAGCGAGCCGGTCCGTCAATCGGAAGGGCAAAATCACTGTAAGCCCTGCCAATGGCTACTGGTTCCTCAGCCTGCGGGATCGGACCGACTACGCCTTTCGGACAGAGCCCTCAACCAACCTGACAGTCAACCTCAGACCCTCCCGGATCGGAATCTTTGTGGACTGCGATAAGGGACTGGTGTCCTTCTACAACGTGGAGGCCAGATTGCTCATCTATACATTCACAGATATTTTTTCTGACACCATCCATCCATTCTTCAGCCCCTGTACTAATAAATCAGGACGGAATGAGGCTCCGCTAATCATTTGCCCTATTGCAACATGGGAATGAAATGAGCTTGAGGACGTCTTCACTAATGAGGAATGCTTCCACATGCTTTCATGTACATTTAAAGAAGACTGAGTTGCACAAACACACCACTGGAACAGACCACATCTGCACTTCATTCCTTCGCTGCGATAGAGTAGATAATAAGCAGGCTGTCTGTTGACTTGTGTCACTGATGTGGTTGTGTTATGCGCCAATAGCAACACTATTAGACTGATGTTAGCAGTAGCCGCTTGAAACAAGGTTCCCTGTACATCTTCCAGCAGCGTATGGCTAAATCAGGTGCAAGGACTGATTATTTTACAGGCTTTAAATGTGCAGACTAATGTTTCAACACCTCTGTGTCTTCACCACAGTCAAAGGTGGTCGTAAGCACCTGTTTAACTTTGGTGGCACCATTGTCAGTCGACACCTTCTGCGCTGACTCCTGCAGAAGTCTGAGGATACATTTTGACAAACTTAGCAGCTAAACTGACCATTTTAAGGCATTTTGAATCAAAAACCGAGATCAGGGGTTCTGAAAATGTTGATGACTGAGTGCCATGTAGGGAGCCAGCATATAATGAAGGGCCACACAGGAGAAGTGCACACACTATCACTTTTCTATTACTTTTTTTAATGATGTTTTATGAATTTGTTTTTATGACACACTTTACTGTGACTTTATTAATGATTTTAAATGAGTTTCTTATGGCATACTGTACTATGACCTATTTCTATAATGTTTTTATGAAATGTTCTCACTTACCAAAAACTCTAGCAGTTGACAATGACACAAGCTACACAAATATCATGTTACATCCTAGTTTTCCACTTTTTAATACATTTGAAAGTCATGAAATAAAGACAGTAGGGTGTTTGATATTGATTGTACCTTCCACAGCAGTCAAGCAATGGCTCCTGCTGGGGTACGGCAACACCACTAGTACACACAACACACATAACTGCAGTACTCTGTGATATTAGAACTGGAAGTAGTTGCAATTTGTTATGTTTATTTATGATTATGATAACATTCACTAATGATTATGCCATATGGGTGATTGCCTTTCAGAGCATAGTAAATTCTATTCTTTAATTATCAATAAATTCGGGGTGACATTTTGAACACGTTTGTGTATTCATACACATCCATGATGAGAATCTCCCTTTCCACCGCATCCCAAAGGTGCTCTATTGGATTGAGATCTGGTGACTGTGGAGGCCATTGGAGTACAGTGAACTCATTGTCATGTTCAAGAAACCAGTTTGAGATGATTTGAGCTTTGTGACATGGTGCTTTATCCTGTTGGAAGTAGCCATCAGAAGATGGGTACAGTGTGGTCATAAAGGGATGGACACGGTCAGCAACAATACTCAGGTAGGCTGTGGTGTTTAAACCATGCTCAGTTGGTACTAAGGGACCCAAAGTGTGCCAAGAAAATATCCCCCACACCATTACACCACCACCACCAGCCTGAACCCTTGATACAAGGCAGGATGGATCCATGCTTTCATTCTGACCCTACCATCTGAATGTGGCAGCAGAAATCCAGACTCATCAGACCAGTGAAACCATTTTACCAACAGTACTGACTAAATATACATTTAGTTTAAAAAATATGACGTCACCTGGGTTCGTGAGAAGGATAAGGAGACATAAGAGGCACCTATGTAATCTAAATTCAGTTAAACAGAAAAGTTTATGTACAGTTTACATGTGAGAGGATACTTTATTAACATCAGGTAAACAGACAAATGGTGCAAGAGGACATGTTCTGTATGCTGGCAGGTCACAGTCAGACAACAGAGCAACACATATAAACACACTTCAGGTTGCATTTTCACAATCAACAATGTTTAAACAAACTGTAAATGAATGAAGAATTGTCATGTTTGGTCCTTAATGTGTCTTTGAGAGATCAGAGGCAGTAGAGCTCCATTCCAACACATCCAGTAAACATTCATGTTGAGTAATAGGCCACTGGTATGACAAAGTGTTATTACGAAGCCTAGCCTCATCTAAGCTTTGCTATATTGCCACTAGGGTTGAACAAGTTGAGGAAAATATGTATTTGTGATTTTTTCTGATCATTACTTTGTTTAAAATTCAATTACTGTCAATAAAAAACTGCGACACAGAAGTGTGCATCTGCTGCTAGCTCACCTAGCACCACTAAGCAAGCCAACATTACTCCTCAGCTGAGGAGGATGCCATTAATGTTTACATGTAGTGCTGTTACAAACACAAGCCTCTCCTCCATTATTGAATGCACGCTTCCTTGTACATAGTGATATGGTTAGCAGGGCTGAGTTTGGTAGAAAGAAAGTAGTTCCTACATGAAACTGCTCACAACAAAGTCTGTGGATTATCTTGAGCCACTGGGTCATGGTTTCTGGAAAATGACATTCTGTGTACTCCAATATCGATGCCACAAAAGTATATAGTATGCCAAGAAAAGATTTAGTATGTCCCAATACATACTAAGTCAAATGCAGTATGCCAAAAATACCAGCATGTCCTAAAACTTTGTAGTATCCAAGCCAGCATGTTTCTTTGGCTATTCTGACCCACAATCCTCTGTGCAGCGGACGATACATCACATTGGCTGAGCCGCAAACAGATGACAGCTTGACAGCTCATTGACAGCTGACTGACAGCTGACCGACACCTGTCAGAAGTTGCAATGACAGATAACAGTGCATTCAACTAACTGATGACCGGTCAAATAGTAATAATAGAAATATTTTTTAAGTGAACAAAATAATCATAAATATTACAAACAATAGGACATAAATGCAAAAAATAACAACAAGAGAGAACGCAGATGTAATTTCGCTGCTGCAAATGATATGTTACAATCGACAATGTATGCAGTTTCGGGTTGATATCCATCTCTGACAAACTCAGTAAGTGGTGTTTTATCTCCAAGACAATGGCTATAAAAGCAAGAGGGTCAAAGTTCAGGGCGTAATGTTATGACAGAGTAATATGTCCCAATTGTGTGCATACTGCGCACAACAGTACGTACTCTTTAAGGGCAGCTGCAGGACCTACTAAAAGTGAAAAGTAGGCGATTCAGATTGCACCAATTGTAGCAGTTCCTCATTCTGTGGTACTTACTGTCATTTCCTGATTAATTTTAGCAGAATGTCACATTTCCCCTGAGTTAATTAAAGGGTCATTCAGATCACCTGTTGCGCAGGCTGTGGGGAATGACTCCTCAATATGAATTGAGAGCAGCTTGGTGCATTTCCCCGCTGGGCCAATCAGGGTGTGATGACGGCCTGCCTTAAAGCTTAAGAGAGATGGGGAAATGCACACCCAGGCATTCTGATCCTTCCTCAGTCTAATGCAGACCTTCTGTTAGAAGATATTGTCAGCCAGAAACTCTGGTCTCTCCTTTGCTGTCTTTTACTGTTCTGGTTGAGGGTGATTTTGTGCATTCTGAATATCGCGTGGAGGGAATATTAAAGAACACCTTTCCACAAGGTGATCTGCATCGGGAAAGTTCTCAGTGCTTTTTATGCAAGAGTTTTCTCTTGCCTAACATTAACCTTACACCTGTAAGCTTTATTTTGAGGTTTTGTTTATTGGTTTATTTTTAACCTAATATAACCCTTAATCTCATATATAAACATGTTTGTTTATAATCAAAGAGGTATCTGTTTACTATTATTGATGTTATTATTTACAAGGCGCATTTTCACTGTGTAGTTCCATTATATTGGAGAGAAGGCAGACATCTCTACAGCCAATATCTCCAACACTCTGCAACTCACACCAAAACAATCTAGACTGATAAATAGCACCATGGATGAGACAAAAACTATGTATTTGGATTTTGGAGTGAACTTGGAAGACAATCACTTAATTTACTGTATGCTAAAGGGCTGTATGCTATTTCTCAACATGTATGCTAAATGTTAGTATGGAGCAGATGATCCACCAAGAATACACATGTTACCTTAGTGTTACACACATCAGACAATACACCAATAACTCAGTGTACTCCTATAATAAATAACTTTAACACTCTTGGCTGCAGCTTCCTTTTTCTAACAATGCAATAAATATGGTATAGTTTAAAAAATAAATAAACATTTGACACATTTCTATTGGTTTATAATTCACATGGCCTGTCTTAGTTATTTGGTCAGGATTTGGTTACACTTAGTGACAAACAGTAGCATGCAAATAAAGGGTAAAAACTCTGCAGTCTTTTGTCATGTTTTGGGTGAAAATAAGTATGTTTTTTTACTTAATGTAACATCGCATAAATGCGTCACCTGACTGACCTCAGTGCGTGACATGACTGAATTTGGTTTTACATGGGACACGCAGCCGGGTTGTACAGTCGGGATGTACTGTTGGGACTTAAGTGACGTAACATTAAGTTAAAACAACGCTGACTTCTGCTTTCACAAGGGAATGAAGTCCTTTTTAGTTTGACCCATCCATTTCCCTTCCTTTCTGCCTTACGCTGACTTTCTCGTGCTTTATACCCCATAAGCTGGTCTTAGCATCAAGTATTGCCACAGATGGGTTTACACTGGAGTTACTGGAGAGCCCACATTGTCTTATAACGACACATAAGGGTGCTTTGGTGCCTATGTCAGAAGCTAAGGGGTGTGGCAAAGCAGTCTTATTTAGCGCCCTGTGAATGAGAACATGCTAAAGATTTGCAGAAACATGATGATGATGATAGCTAATATTAGCATTTCTTGCCCAATCAGAGAAAAAGAGATTTTTTTTCCTCTGTTCAGATTTTACACCACAAATTTTATATTTCATGGTCTAAGTATAGTAGTAAACACTCATATTAAACACTTTCTGCTTTTCAAGATGACACATTAAAATATGTATTCGGTATTGTGCTTTAACTAATTAATTTTTAAGCTATAGTTAAAATACAAACATCGGGTTATGTAGTTATATGGGAAATCCTCATGATCTCTCTTTTCATTTATGGCTATTTAGAAATACAACAATAACACACCATCATGTCACCTGATAGTGCAGTGTGATGGCAGACAGGTGGATTGATTAAGAAAGCTGCTGAGTGGTCACACGTGGCTCTTATTGCAAACAGTGCCAATGAAAAAAGGTGGAATCAATTTTCTTGCGTGATTTATCAAAATAGTACAATGAGAATTGTATTGGTGTAATAATAAGGTGTACTCTGTTAAAATATTTGGTGGCAGCCGTGGTAAACAGTAGCAAACGCATTGTCGTGCACAAACCCTGTAAACTACGTCTCATAGATTTGAATTACTTGTATATTGGGTAGGGCTGGGCTGTGTAGAAATTTTCAAACTGGTTCAATATTGACTCAAATCCTGGATGGCGCATTGAAAGTTACCATGAGGTGTTGACTCAGCCACCGCTCCCAAGTGGAATGTAATGACACTGTGTCCTAACAGCAAACAAGCGCCCAACTATCACGTCACATCATGCAACATTGGAGCTCCCTGTCCACAGTGAATCCCTTATTATGCACCTCTGTTATGTCATGTAAACACACCACATAGCTACGTAGCACATAGCTGTATGCTTTGAGATCAGACTGGAGACATAACCACCCTTAAAGATGGGTGAGTACTTGCTATCCTCCTATGTTTATACTTTTTAGAAAACATGATTTTGATATTGTGATATTTACTGGAAATGACATACAAGTAGCCAACAGCAAGTAGCCTAGCTTGTTATCAGCGATGGTCATTTACCAGAAACTTTCAGCTCCATGGCGATCCCCCATCTGTCAGCTGGTCCCTTAGTTATGTTTTTGATGTTTTTTGTATAGACAACTCCTCATTTCAGCTTCTTAAAGATCAGCCATTCCTTGTCTATTCCAGTGCTTTCAAAGTGAGCGACAGGAATAAAAAGAAACAGGGTGTCTGACAAAAGTTCAGCTCAAAATGGCACACTGCATCACTCAAAGCTAGTTAGGACAGTGCTTTAATCAGCTTCAAATCCAAAATGTTGCCACTGGTGCAGTTTTAGATTTCTTGAGAGACTAACACCGCCATGTCTCCTCTCATCATATTAATTTTCTAGTAAACAAACACAACATGCGCCGCTATTCCAGTGGTTAGTTTATTTAAAACAAACATAATGCTGTATCAATCATGTTGTCATAATGCTTATTACTAATGCAACAAGTGGATCTAGCACTGTGAAGCCGCCAGCACAGGTTGCTGATGAAGGCTTCTTTGTAATTTGCCAGAACGTCCATCCATCCATATTCTAACTGCTTCATCCTCTTGAGGGTCGCGGAGGTGCTGGAGCCTATCCCAGCTGACATTGGGCGAGAGGCAGGGTACACCCTGCAAAAAATCTAACTGGTTTGAGCTCATACAACAGACCAGACCTGCAAACCGGAAATCGACTCGATTCTAATGTTGTGATTTGATTGATTTTGAATTTCAAGATGAACTGCCTGAAGGTAATCAACTTAAGAGAAGACCTCAGAAATGTGAGTGTCTCCAGTCCACCTGGCTCTGCTTTTGAAGCCACTGAAGAAAACAGAGAAATGCCTGGCTTTGATCAGCAACACTCATGAAACCACCATTAAAGTTTTGTGAAAAGACTGAATATCACTGATCATTATACCATTATCTTGTGCAAGTCTACGATTTTTCTTGATAAGGACCACAAACAGTTAAATGTACTTTGTGCTGATGAGAGTTCTTATATGTGGTGCACACAGTTAAGGGACGTGGGACATTACGAGTCAATATCTGAGTTTTTCTCGGTTGCACTGCTGTAAAATGATAATGTATTTATTTGCAGTTACTTTACAGCCTATTACTAAATGTGTGGTGCTGATTTTGACTTTTGTTTTAACAGGACGTGGCTTGGTGAGTATGTGTGTGTGCGTGATGTGTAAGCTGGCTTGTGTTGAGTGTTGCTTTACTGTATCTTCAAAAAACAGAGGCACATGACTATCTATACATTTGATTGTCACCCAGAGCTCTGACTGAATATCACTGTTGTAGAAACATGCACATCACGCGTGTATGTTTGCGTCATATCCTCTCACGGCTGCTGCTGTGCCTCGTGCGGGCGTCTCTCTGAGAACCCAGGCACCTCACCCCGTCCAGCAGCATGGGAGTCCCGTGATGTGGATCTGTGCAGAGGAAGAGAAAGGGATGAGGACAAGATGAGACACATTAAGAAGAAAAAAATGGTATTACACTAGTTCAGGTGTCAGGCTCAGTCAGAGCTGCGTTAACACAGTCTTTGTCCGTTATTTTCTATGTGAGGACACTGGTTAATCAGTTATGGTGCTTAGACCATGGTCACTTACATCAGTAACATATTCTTGGAAATACATTTCACTGTGTGTGTGTGTGTGTGTGTGTGTGTGTGTGTGTGTGTGTGTGCTAGCACATACCAATGACTTTGGCCTGGAATCTGACCTTCAGAGTGCTGCCTTTTTTCCCTCTGGTTACCAGAGTGAGCTCCTCCTGCAGCACCCCCTCCTGGTGAGTCCTGTACTCACATGTTACCTTTACACCTCCTGTAAGAGGGGGAGAGGGTTCATCAACACATACATTTACTAACACTAGTTTGTTTTTTACTTATATTTTTGTGTAGCCCCTTTAATTCAGTGGTTTGGAAAGAGCCTTATCAAGGCAATCAGGAGAGCACAACTGGATTGACATAAAAGGAAGGAAGTGAGGGAAGTGATACTACGAGACAGATAAAGAAGAAAAGATAGGACGAGAGAGGAACTGTGCGTCGTCAGACAGACAAAGTGCTGACAGAGCAGAGCTGCATTTTCTACTTTTGCTTCAGATGCACGTTTTTGTGCAGGATATTGCTGACTCAGCTCTGCATCATAGCAGTGTCTCCTGAGCTGTATGGAACATATTTGTCCCGTAAGATTATCAAACCCAATGCGCCTGGACCACACAGGGTATCTGAAAACTGGAACATAGAAAGAGAGATTAAGATTCTACTGACATGCTAGCAGCTCTGTGAGGCTGTAGACAAAGCAGTGCTTTGAGCTGAATGCTAATGTTAGCATGCTAACATACTCACAGTGACAAAATGCTGATGCTAATCAAGTCTTAAAGCTCTGACTCTCTGTCCGAGCCCAACTGGGCCTGACCCGACCTGCCAGATTTGGGCCGGACTAAGCTGTAATGAGAAATTACAGCCGCCAGGCTTTAATCAAGTGTGATATTGGACTTTATAAATAAAACTGAATCGAACTGAATCATCAACTGCATGCTACATTGCCATGGCTCGCCGTGTGCACTGGATGCACCAAGGGGCACAGTCTACTCTGGCAAACCTGTCATGCACAAGACGATAAATGGTGCAAGGCAACACATCAGCCCTTAGCTTGTAATAAATGGTTTAATATTAAAAAAAATTACAAGTCTTTTAATGTAGAAATTTTAGTTTTTATCAGGCTCAGGCCCAAAACTGCTGCCGCGGGTCAGGCTCGGGTCAGGCTTGGTCAGAAACTGTGCAGCTTCATGTAGGGTTGGGCCTGATTTTGGGCCCCATCAGAGCTCTAGCAAGTATATGTTTGCAGAACTGAGACTTCTCAGGTATACTAAGCCTTTTGCAGAAATATAGTGTCTGCAACAAAAACATGAATGGCTCTGTCTGGAGTCAGTGTTTGGTTTTTCCATTCTGGGCTACTGTAAAACAACATGGCAGACACTGTGGAAGTGGACCCACTCCGTATGTAGATATAAACAGCTCATTCTAAGGTAACAGAAATGCAATGATTCTGATTTTCAATCGATTATAAACAAATGAAAATGCACTTAGGAATATTATAAACCATTTCTGCCAATAGATGCTCTAAATCCTACACCCCGGACCTTTAAAGAATTGTGACCAAAATACATACTGAGCAGGACATGTTGCAGTTGTCAGTGCTTTCTAGTGGATAAACTATGCACACTGTTAGTAAATGTTCTCACTTTGCCATTTTTGTATTACAAAAATATACATAAAATCAGCTGACATTCACAGACACTGTAGATGTGTACTCCTGGATTTACCCTCCAGTGTGGAGTTAATACGATGGACCCGGAGGTTGGGGAACCTCCGAGATGGAGAGGAGGAAGGAAGGCAGGAGAGCTCTTTTCCCAGTGTGGGGACATCTGGGACGGTGAAGACAATCTCGTAACACTGGTGGCTCTTGAGGAAACCAGCCTGGACAGAGGAACAACAGTAGAGGCAAAGAGTAAAGGAGAGAGTTTATAGGGTGTTTTCTGAGAGTGAACCAGAACAGTGAAGCTGCAACCAGGCTGCTATACAGTGAACTGAAACTCATTGTAAAGCTCTGTAAACTGAGAGGAGCTGCAGATTCAGGTGATATTCTTTCTAGATTTATCACTATGATCACCTGATGTTGTCACATTGTCACTATATACAGTCTTATTATAAGAACACTGATTATAGCTACATCCATATGGCACACAGACACACCTTGACCAAGTAGCTGCCATCCTTCTCCTGGATAGCGATGAGAGAACAGAGGTTTGACTCATCTTTCCGTGTTGGAGAGCCAGGGGGCTCGTCGTCGTCAGGGAAACGTACACCGCCAGCCTTTGAGGTGGAGCCTGGTGACAGAGAGAAAACACAGGTCTTAAATTATCTAGCAACCACAGCACAATTATAGAGATGTAATGAAAACAATGGCTACGACATCATATCAACTGCAGATTTATGTATTTACTTATGTGGACCCCATTCCACATAAATAAATAAAAACTAAAATTAAAATAATAAATATAATATTTCTAGAAATATTTCTCATAAAACAGAACAGAGATATAACCATCCTATCCCTCACCAATGACCAACATAAAGTTATGTATATTCTGATGATGGTAGCTGCTCTGTTACTGTTAGATGTTGCAGAAAAGCAAAAGCAGCAATGTGATTTTATAAATATTTAATAAGTTCCTGTAAGTCAGGAAATTCTTGCCCAAAAACAGCACAGACATGAGAGTGGCTGGCATGTCTAACTTGTGGTGCAGGCACAGCAGTCAGACACTGAAAGCACAATCCCTGGTTTGTTATAGGGCCTGAGGCCTAAATTGTCTCCCCCACTCACTGTTGACATGTTAAATTTCAAAATATATTGAGTTAACTGAGAAAATGTCACATAGTAATATTGCTGGGAGCTGTGCAGTAAACTGTTGCCCAGCAGTGGAGGCTTGAGGGTGTGTTACATCATCACACACACAGATGCAATGCTTTGAGGACAAAGTACTTAACCTGTGACATCTGGCTGTTTTGTGGTGCTGCAGTCTGATTTTACAAAGGATTATTTTTGCTCAGCAATCCACACAAATTCCTCAGTAATGACAATGTGAAACACAATGAAGTGTGTGTCATATAATTTCAGTGTCTAAACTACGAAGCAAAAAGGATGGGAACAATCAATGCAGAATACTGAGATGATGTACTGTGTTTTTCTGCATTCAGATTCAGGCAACTTTATTAATCCAACCAGAGGGCATTTGTTTGAACAGCTTGCCTTGCACACATACTATAACATACAGCAACATGTAGACACATAAATAAATGAGTAATAAACAAAAATAAAATAAAAAATAGGCCATGGAGTTCAGTGGAATAAAGGAATCTGTAAGTTATTAGACTTATTATCAATAAGAGATTAAAAAAAAACAGTGAAAATATTTTAAAGGATGAATTCAACAGCTGCCCTCCTTTTCTCTGTGACTCATCACTGACATGCTTGTTTCCTGTGGATTCCTGAATACAATGTCCAAAGTACATCTTGTAGGTTTACAGACATAACTGTATGAAGGCCAAACTACTGCAAGTCAACTGTAGCACTCAAACACACAGGCGCACATGGGCAGTGTTGAACTTACCTTTTCTTCCTGTTGCCATGGTAATGTGGTTAGGAAATGGGAAGTGTCAGACAATACCCGAGTGATGTCATCACTGACCTCCTGAGTTCGAGGACAGACAATGAAAGAGAGGAGCACAGAGAGAGACAGTGCCACACTTGTTAGGTCTGACAGTGTCAGCTTGATGTTGCATTATTTATTAAAGAAAATACAGAGTCTTGAAGTCTGGGGTCTTCTCTCTGTCCTGGGCTTTATAAGAGATAGCACAGGAGGTATCGATATCACAGGGCTCCGCTGGACATCAATACTGTATTGATCTGTTAAATCCATGAAGGAAAATATGCTGACATGGAAATGAACTGCATAGCTTGTGAACAGAATTTCAGTTTTCTTACAGAAGCAGGATTGTGAGCGGAAGGTTGGCAGCTCTTTCTCCGAACTCACAGGATGAATCTGGGTGAGGAAAGTGAAAGAACAGCACCTGCCCCTCCCTCATTACCTAAAGTGCCCTTAAAGGAATAATTCACCCACAAATGACCATTCGTATATCAGTTAGTCACTCTGTGTTATGTTGAATTTGTGAAGAAAGCTTTGTTTTTCTTGCACGCCTCCATGGAAAACGATGAACATATTGATGTTTTGATTGATTGACAGGGGACCACATTTACAACAGCAAAACTATATCAAGACATCTGTTCACAAACTCTAACACAACTAGTACAGTATAATCCAAGTCTCATTTATCCAGTCATATGCTCAGTGTAGAGTATTTTAATAAAAAAACACGTGGCACTAAAGGCTCTGAGGGGCAAACGGGGAGAACTTTTCTGATTCCATGTTCTGGGCAACAACAATAAACCAGTGTCCAATTCATCCAGTCACCGTTACTGTTTAAAGGCTCTCTGCGGCATCAGGGGGATACGTGGCAGGACAAGAACGGAAGTTAAGGCAGCGAAAGTCCAAGTACGGTGGGCGGGAGTTGTGATGGATTTGTCCAACATCACCAACTTTTACCTGGGAGAGCGGTATTCACATACTGTAAGGTTACAAAGCCAAACTCTGTTCTTTTTTCCTAAACCTAACCACTTGCTTTTGTTGCCTAAACCCAACCTTGTGTGTTGTAAAACGCAATTTGCATTACTGACGTAGACACAGTATGGAACGGTGAATTTCCTGTGAAAACGGAAGAGTGTATTAAAAGAAGGCAATACCTGTAACAGGCAGAACTTGACTCGGCGTCCTAGAACATCAGTAACCAACGCTCCTAGGGTACCTTTCACATCGCATCTGGATATGGAAGGTCCATGACCTAACGTCGATATGTGACGAGGTCGGAGTGAGAATGTGTTGACACTTCACAAACACATGCATAAATCTTACTACGCTCTCTTAAAAGCCAGACACCAATACGAAGATTTTTTTAGCGGAGAATACGGCTGGATAAATGAGACTTGGATTTTACTGCAAGAGTTGTGTGAGTTTGTATACGAATGTTTTGATATATAATTTTCCTGTTGTTTAACATGGTCCCCAATCAATCAATAAATCAACATGTTCTCCTTTAGGCATGCAAGAAAACCAACGTTTTCCTTGTGAATTCTAGGTACCATGGCATGACTACCTAATAAACAAATGGTCATTTTGTAGGTTCTTGTTCCTTTTAGCAAATCCCTTAACCCCCAACTGCTCTAGGGGAGCTGCCGATTAGCCAACAGATCAGACTGTGGTCGTCCTGGGCGGCTTGTGTGTGAATGTAAATAGAGTGTTCCTGAAAAAGAGAGCATTACTGTTTTGCTCTCAGTGATAGCTCCCTTGGTAAAAAGGGTGGCCTACATAAGAAAAAACTAAAATAACCCAACATTTAGAAAATAGGATATCTGCACAGGTGTTCACAAAATAAACGAGCTACTGAAAATTACCATAATAGTCTCACAGTCACTTTGTTGCTTACATTGTAGTAAAGCTGTAAAGCTTCAAACAAAGTACCTGTCAATCATCTTACAGTGTCTGTATCCCTCTTTCTGACCTTGGAATTGTTTGTTTTTTCATTCCTCACACAACAGCAATGCCATACCTTCGAGGAGAGACTCTTTAAAGTGTGCAGCCTTCTCCCTGGAGACAGATCATAGTGGCGGAGGGATGCAGCCGGGAGGATGCTAAGACAGCAGATTTTTTATCCTGCCTTTGAGTGTGTCCCTTTGGAACAGAAATAAGCTTCGCCTTTAGATGTGGTCCGATCGCACATCATCTGAAGCATACTGAGGCCTTAAAGGGACAGTTCACCCTTAAACCAAAAATACCTTTTTCCTCTTACCTGTGGTGCTATTTATCAATCTAGAATAACCAGGTGTGAGTTGCTGAGTGTTGGGGATATCGCTGTAGAGATGTCTATTAGCTCTTGAATATAACTGAACTAGACTGCACTCGGCATGTGGTGCTTAAAGAGATAAAAATACATTTGGAAAAAACGGAAATCATGACACGGTAATGATGTAATGTATGTAAGATATGTGTTTTTTGGTGAAGGCCTGGGCAGTAATTATAATAAATACTGAGGAGGACACAATATGCTATGAAAGGCAACCACACAAGGCTGTCTGAAGTTAATATTACCACCTGTTCTAGTTTCACGGTGTACTGCAATTCTGCGTGTGGTTTTTACCAGTGGTTTTGCTGTACGTACCCCAGCAGCACATTGCTTGTGCTGTTGTACAGTCTTGCTATTTCATTACTTTGAAATGTATTTAAAAGTGTTACAGTGACAGTTTTTGTTAAGTGTTAGTAAATGTCATAAAATAAAAATGTCATAGTGTGTGTGTGCACTTTTCCTGTCTGGCCCTCAAATGCTGGCTCTCTAAAATGGTGCTCACTCATCTCTCAAAACTTTGAGAACCCCTGATCTGAGAGTTCAGTTTTTTTAAATTTAATTTTTTTTTAAAGATCTAAAATTGTCACTTTAGCTGTTAAAGGTCCAGTGTGTAACATTTAGGGGGATTTAGTGCCATCTAGTGGTGAGGATTGCAGATTGCAACCAGCTGAAACCTCTCCTGGCTACGATTCCTTCAGTGTTAATTGTTGAGAAGGTTTTTAGTGGAATCTTAATTTTCTGCAGAGGTCTCTTCCTCTACAAACTACAAACCACTTCAACAATGAAAAAGCAGTTTCATGTTAAAATAATCTGTGGTTTTTCCGATGCTCTTCTTGCAGGGGGGTTGTTATCTACAGTGGCTGACAAGGAAACTGGCCTTATCTAGAGCCAGTGTTTGGTTTGTCCTGGTGTATGAAATGTGCTATACCAATAAAGCTGCCTTGCCTTGTCTAAAAATAGCACACTTTCCCTATTAGATTCCATTTTTGCTGGTATCCAATCATCCCTCCATCCATCCATCCATCCATCCATCCATCCATATTTATCCACTTATCCGGGTCGTTGGGGCAGCAGGCTGAGCGAGTAACTCCAGACATCCCTCTCCCCAGCAGCGCTTCCCAGCTCCTCCAGGGGGAATCCAAGGCGTTCCCAGGCCAGATGAGATATATAATCCCTCCAGCGTGTTCTGGGTCAGCCCAGAAAACCTCTAGCAGTAGGCTCCCAGGAGGCACCTGGCCCCATTTCTGCCAATATATCCCCCTTAATCCTACACACACTGAGGTTTCTAAAAATGCATCCTTGGGGGGAATTCCTCCAAGACACTAAGACTTTAACATTTAGTAATTCTCTTGCAGTGTCCCAGAAATCAGACAGGCAGGATGATGTACAGCACAGAGTGTCTGCACCGACTGCAGCTGCCACAGAGAGGAAACAAACAAGTAGGTTCCTCTGAAAGATGTGATAAAAATAAAAACATTTTGGATTCACTCAGGCTAAAGTAAAGGGCCTCTGTCATTAAGAGCTAAATGAGGATGATGTCTCATTTCTGGAGTGAGATGAGAGAGAAAGGCAACACCCTAGCTTACACTGAATGTGCATCCCTCCTGCTCAACTGTAACGTTACGTCACGGACATGACCTGAGTCGTTGAGCTCTTGAACACATCACCTTTTGCATGAAGGTGTGTTTGCACGATGGTGTGAAACAGCCTTATTTTTATATATGGATCAATAAATGAAACTCTCGCGACCGGTCACAACACAGATACACGCCCGTCAATAAGCATCCTGCAGCAACCCTCCTAAAGCCAGACCAGCCAATGAAATCACATACATACCGTTCAGAGTAGATGTGCCGGACGTGTGAAGTGTCTCTCTGCATTCATAACACCACCGATGACATGTCGTTATTCCTCTCAGAGCACAAACACCGGCATCTGTCCTGATGAAGCGCTGCCAAAATGGAACTGCGGTGTAGAGACAGAGAGAGGGATCAAACATGTTTCATGCGCGCGGGCGTGTGCCTTCTGAGCGGACACGCGCGTAGCGTCTGGTCTGCGTCGCGAGTAAACACAGACTGCACAGACGGTGCGGTGGTCAAATACAGTCTGGCCAGAGGGCGGCGCCAGAACATAGGTCACCATCCTCTGCGGAGGTGTTCACGGACAGCTGAGCTCACACTTACCTGGACACATTTGGCTCAACTTTGTCAGGCCAGTGGCGCGCCCAGAATTTTCCATTGGGGGGCCGGATGGGGCCAGTGATAATCTTGGGGTCGCACACTGAAACCGAAATCTATAATTGAATTTTGTACTGATACACCTTGGTTTCTCAAAATATGTTTCTTTTTTATATATACAGTAATTATCTGTTGTGCATATGCTAATGCTGGTTCAGTTAACACTTTGAGCTCCACAACATCGTGCCAAAATGTATTCTGTGTACTGTATAGCAGTGGTTCCCAACCTTTTTCATGAGGGATCCATATTTTTACCATTGTTACACACGCCTGTATCCTCAAGATACATATTTTAAAAATTTTCTACACTAATTTATTTATTTATTTTTTAAATAAATAAATAACTTTTTAACATAACCCTTAAATGTGTTTGTTTCTGACACATATATACCTATGAATTAAATTTCGACAGATGATACATTAAAATGTGTCATCTGTTGACTTGGCCTAGGACTTTTTGAATTTGTTTTCATAATGTTTTAATTGATCTACCTTTTTACTGTGTGCTGTAGCACTTTGAGATTTTTTTTTTATAAATGAAAAGTGCTTTATAAGTTAAATTTATTATTATTATTATTATAAAATTACACCCCTTAAAATCAAGAGGGCTTCGTGACCCCCCCGTGGCTCTTTGGCACCCCTCTAAAGTCTAGTTCACATTACAAGATTTTCACCCTGATTTTGCATTGCGGAGACTATCGTAATCTTTTGAGTGTTCATACCTCGTTGGCGATGTGTGTTTCTGTCAGCAGGAGTCTCACCAATTGTATTACAACCTGTGCGTGCACACCACAGGATTTCTCCACTGAGCCCTCGCCGACAGAGCCCCAGATAACGCGGTGATTTCACCAAACTTGGAGACGACACATCGTAAAGGCATGGATATTCCTCCCAGTGTTGAATCAGATCTGCCTCCAGGGCCTGGGTCCAAACACACCGCGTTCCCCATGATCCTGTGGACGCCGCCATCGTTGTTGTTGTTGCTTGCCGGCTTGTCAGTGTTGCCAGATCTTGGGAGACAAACAAGCAACCAGGGCTATGGAAACAAGCCCAAAAGAAGCGACTATCATGCGTTTAAATAACTTATTAGGCGGATATATATATAGAGAAAGGTGACGTTTAGACAGCAAGCCCAAATAAGCAACTCCACTTTAGAAACAAGCCCAAAGTCGCAGCTAATAAGCGGACCTGGCAAGTGGCAACCCTGCGGCTTGTCCTCCTCACATTTCTTCCATCCTCCTGCGTGCTGATGTGGGACATATCCTGCCTCTCATTGGCTGATGCTCTATGTCAGTTGTGTCACACTTCTCCAGTTTTCTAGCATGCCAGATATCCAGTCCCAGTCACAGACGAGGGGGCGACTTGCTCGTAGGCTTGTTTACACATGAGGACTCGTCGTGGCAGACTATCTGCCTACTCACCTCCGACCCAAGGTGGCTCTCAAGATCCTCTGCGATGCCAAAATTGCAGTGAAAATTGTGTAATGTGAACAAGGCTTAATGGGGTCACGCCCACCCGGTTGGGACCCACTGCTGCATCGGCCTTTTCAAAACCAGACCCAGAGCGTCAGTCTGTTATTAGTCACCTTAATAGCTGAATGAAGCACCCTACATCAAGGTGTAGGCTGTCAGTGCAGCGGTGAGCTTTGGGACACACTTCCCTCTCTGCAGCAGAAAAAAGGAGCTGTCATTATGTTTGGTAACCATAGAGAAAAGTAAAGTTACTCCCAAATTTGTGTCCTTTATATGTCTTTGTATCAGTTTTATTTGATTCGTGCCGCTGTTTGGTAGCATTTATTATACATTTGCCATTAAAATAAATAGCCTAAAAAATGTGTGTATTTTACTACTCACACTTTGGTAAATAAATAAAAAAAAATATGCTAAAAGGGGAAGAAATGAGATCACAAGTATGTTCAATTTTATTTTAATTTTATTTTTTGTGAATAAGTTATTCAGTACCATACAGATGGTAGCTGGCAGAAAATGATGGGACAAAGAGAGGGAGGATGACATGCAACAAAGGTCTTCAAGCCAACTGGACCTGGTAAGTAACACAGGCTCTCACTCATCTATACTTGCCAGAATATGACATTTATTAAAGTTGTTAAAAAGCAAATGTACAGACACAGAACTTCGTCCTGTAAAAGTTGGGTAACATTAGTAAAACTCCCCATCCGTCCTCTTACGTCCCCTTGCATCCTTCACTCTTGAAGACAAACAAAACTTTTTATTTTTATGTTCACGACAATCTGCACCAACTTGTTTTCAAGCATAAAATGTGTGATATGTTATATATATAAAATCACCATAATTATTGAACAAACTTAATACTAAAATCTTAATGAACACTAAGTAGAACATCCACTCAGCTAGCCTATAATTTAAGCTCCATGATTTAAACAGATGATTAGAAGTTCCTAAAAGGTTGACATGAATTTGATCAACACCCAACCACTTATGAGATTACACAAGTTGGACATCTCTTTTCAGCTTCATCTCTAGCCATATTATTATACTCTTCAGACAGTTTTTGTAGTTGGTCTCTCAGTTCTTCGGCATGGTTTGCTTTTAATTCTTTTATCCTGTTTGTCATATTCTCTTCATTCTCCTCTATTTCTTTCTGTCTCTCTGCTGCTCTCTCTTCCCTTTCCCTCCTTCTCTCCTCATCCATCTCCTCCTTTGCCTTCTTCATCTCCTCCTCTAACAGTTTTCTCTCCCTCTCCCTCTCAGCCTGGAATTGTTCATTCATTTTCCTCATCTGCTGTTCATATTTCTCCTGTATTTTCCTCTCCAATTCCTCTCTTTCTCTGCGTATCTGCTCTTCTTTCTCTTTCAGGATGCATTGTTTCTCCTCTTCGATTATCCTCTCGGCCTCTTGGAACATCACGTTGGTGTAGTGGCTGCCTCCGTTCCTCTGGGCTATATTTCTGATCTTCTGGAGCAGCTCAGTGACCTGAGAACGATCTTTTTTCTCATTATTGAAGACATGGTACTGGCCATTACATCTGGCCACGAGTTCCTGCAGGTCAGGGCTTTCAACCAAGAA